TCGGGATAACATATTCTTTACAAATTTTGTCTCAAAAACGACGTTAGCGAGGCTTTTTTAAATATGAACAAAATGATAATATATGCATAGGGTCTATAACATGATATATTATGTTATTATGATTTCCAACTATGTGATAATTGCCTAAACATTTTGCTTCAGCAACTCAACTGCACGTTTTTACTTTTATTACAGGAAGATGAACATGTTAACAAGCCGGGACCAAAGAGGCAGATGCCATTATTTTCTGAATTTTTAATGGTTCTTATAAGACTCAGGCTTGGACTGTTACAGAGTCACCTGGCAGACATTTTTGCAATTTCACAAAGTTCAGTTTCCAAGATTTTTACAACTTGGATTAATCTTTTGTATCATGTATTTAAGGAAGTTCTTATAATATGGCCTGCAAAGGTTCAAATTCAAAAGCACATGCCTAAGAGCTTTAGTAGGTATCCTCGGACCCGTGTAATTATTGACTGTACAGAGTTTTTTATAGAGAAGTCCACTCAACCTTCAGCTCAGAAAATTACTTGGAGTGATTACAAGTCACATAACACTTTCAAACTCTTGGTTGGTATTTCACCCACTGGAGCCTTCACATTTGTCTCTAAACTTTGGTCTGGTGGGGTCTCTGACCGAAATATAACTCAGAAATCTGGACTGATAGACAAGCTGGAACCTCTAGATGATGTGATGGCTGATAGAGGATTCAATATTAGAGATATGGTCACAAAGAAAAAGGCCACATTAAACATTCCCCCCTTTGCAAAGGGGAAGTCCCTTTCAACAAAGGCATGTACAAAAACCAGGAGAATAGCTGCAGTTCGCATACATGTGGAAAGAGCAATCCAGCGGCTCAAGTGTTTCCGAATTTTACGTGGTGTGATACCTATCACCCTTGCTGCAGTTGCTGATCAGACTGTGTTTGTATGTGCAGCACTGTGTAACTTAATGAAGCCTCTTGTTTCAAAGTAAATGTCTAAATAATTTTCTTATGTCTGTATAAATCATATGATTTTTGATCGAACTAAAAAAAAACAATGAGCATGTAACCCCTTACAGTAGCTACTATACTAGGTATAAATGGAATAGTTATGCATTTACATAGGCTCAATGTCACAAAAGGTTCATATTTGGAAGTTGAGTTTCTACATTATATGTATATTTATTTATCTGTACTATATAACACTGTACGGTTCTGACCATATTTAACCTTTGGAAAAGCTAGTTCTGGTAAAATGACCGAGTCAAAAAATGAATCCAGCTTAACTAGCACTGGAGACCAAAACTCTTGATCAAACAACACTTTCTCAACATAAATACCACCATCCCTGCCACAAGCAACAAATATGCCCCAGGGATACGTTGTTGCAAACATTTGTTGATGTAGTTGATAAAAGTATTTATGATTTCTATTAAGGGCTATACCATTGCTTCTTTTTATACAAATATGCTGTTTCAGTAAAATATCTTCAAGGGTTTCCCCTGACTTCACCTGAAGAAATTTCATCTCAACCACACCTGGGCTAGACTCAGACTGATCATATATTATTCTATCTGGAGAGGCACCAATATGTCCATGGGTCTTGCTAATGACAAATCCACACTTTTCGACTTTTATATCAGAATGTCCATTCTGTTTCATGTATTTTATTAGTGCCTGTTCAATTTCATCCTCCTTTGCCAAGCCCTCCTTCATGGCAGCTGTTAAAGGCACTTGGTTGTAACTCAAAACTTCCTTTAAAGCTTTAGTTGGAGATGTGGTTAATTTCAAGCTTGCAATACGTTTACAATGAGAAGCGGTGATTCTTCCTGTTCTGTACTGAAACCAGTCAATGGCATCACTCTGCAGTTTTGTCTTTTTTTCCACTGCATCAATTTCATCATCTGTAAACTGAAGTTTTCTTTTTATTGCCTTGCCCCTTTCTTTAATCTCATCCAGACTGGGTGGCAAAGGTTTCATTGGTGATAAAGAATCTAATGTAAATGTAGTAACAATTGAATTTTCCTCTCTTATGTCATTTACATTTTCTGAATCAAGTTGAGGATGTTGACCATTACATGTGTCTGGGTCAGGTAACAGATGCAGTAATACAGCTGAAGGAACAGTTTCAGCAACAAGCTTTCTAAAATTCTCAGCCAAATTTACATTCATATCATATGAAGTTCTGGGGTCATAAGTATCACACCTTGGTTTTAGTCGCTTCTTTTTCTCTTTGTTCAGTGTGGGTTTTGTAAAATCCATGGCTGATCCTTTTGTCATGCCCTCATGAGTCCTCTTCCGTTGTTTCCAAGTGCACTTTCTCCCTGTGCAAGTTATTACAACATTTTCTCTCAGTGTAGCTTCAAGGTCAATAAGCGAGGCACCAATGTGCCGGCAAGCACCATCAGCCCTGATCAAGAAATTAGGAATTAAGAAAAGTTTCAACAGATATATTGTGATGACCAGAGTCAAAGTTTTGAATACTAGATAAAAGGAAATTATTCTGAAAGCAATAGAGATCACATACACTTGGGCATAGTATAAAGATGTCTTCAACAATTTGGAAACGAAGTACAAAATTTCGCAAAGCTGCAAATTATTATTTTCATTAACACTTCAACATTGTGTCAGTTGAACAGATCAATCTGGATTTATCATTTAACACATACATAAATCAAATTCATTTTTTAAGATGGCCAAATATTAGCCGAGGCAGCAGAATACACACCCTCCTATACAAGGGCAATGCGCTGTGTAAACTGATCCATCTGACTGAATTATTATCCATCCATCGTAAGTTGGTTTCTGTCCGACTTGCGTTTTCTCTCGTTCCGTTGGCTTTACTCCAAATTTAACGTAGTGGTATCCATTGAACAAGTTCTTGTTCTTCATCAATTTTAACACATGGCCATCCCAGAACAGGCGGTAGCCTTCGAACGACTTATATGCCTTGAGAGACTCGTGGTCATAACCCTCCTTATTGATTAAGTAAGCGTACATATCACCGTATGTGAAGTTCGGAAAATCAGAAAAGTCGGAAGTCCAGTCAGAGTGTAACGTGTTAGGACAGGGGAGCGAACCTTCTTTCGTCTGCAACTTGT